TGAGTCGAACTCAAACCCTATCTAGATCGAGTCGCGAATAAGGCTAAGAGCCGTGTATTGCATTCGGTTTTTTTCAGCGTTCGTCTCTTGATTCCTTAGTTCCAGCTCGCTACACTCCGGTACAAGTACCTCATGTTGGACCCTTATGACGAATACATGCGCAACGTATAGTTACTCGGCGACAGAGGCAACAGTACGACACAATCAGGTTCGCTTTGCTCGCTACACTCCGTACAAGTACCTCGTATGGATCCTTATGGCGAATACATGCACAACCGAAGATTGTCAATCCAGCCATTGTAGCCGGCTGCCGTATAGTTACATCGGCGGACAGTGGCAACAGTACCGAACACACTCAGGTTTGGCTTTGCTCACTACACTCCGGTACAAGTACCTCGTATTGGATCCTTATGACGAATACATGCACAACCGAAGATTGTCAATCCAGCAAATGTAGTCGGCTACACAACGTATAGTTACATCGGCGACAGTGGCAACAGTACCGAACACACTCAGGTTCTGCTTTACTGGCTACACTCCGTTACTGGTTACCTCGCATTGGATCCTTATGACGAATACACACGCAACCGAACATTGTCAATCCAGCCATCGTAGCCAGCTATCGTAGAGTTCATCGATCGGTGACAGTGGCAACAGTACCGAACACACTCAGGTTCCGCTTTGCTGGCTACACTCCGTTGCCGGTATCTTGCATTGGATCCTTATGACGAATACATGCACAAATTCCACCAACTTGATTGTCATGGGCCGAGAACTGACTGCCATCCCACCGACCATAGGATTCAATGAGGGATGGCTTTCCATTCTGCACCGGAGACTGACGGCTTGAGTGAGGCTTGATAATAGAGATAATAGAGGTGCGAACGATCGACTCGAATAAATAAAACAACTTACCGTTGACGGCCGAGATCTGACTGCCTTCCCGCGGTCCATAGAAATTCAATGAGGGATGGCTTTCGAATCTGCACCTTCAATAACACTCTTGATTCGTACCGTACCAGTCGTTCGATCGATCCAACACCACTCTTGTCGGCTAGTTACATCTATCGTATGAAAGAGGGCAAGTCGGTCGCTCGCTCGACGACTTGTGCATACAGGAAAATGGGTGCCGACACAGGAATCACCACCAAATCACTAGGAAACAACACTGGAGAGATGAATCCAGTAATAGGATCCACTCTCTTGTGTGCGTGCGAGTGTTGTCGTGTAGCCTCCTCCTCCAGTTGACTGTTGCCATTCAATGACTCGACGACGTTCAGTATGGTGATAGGGCTTGAGTTACCAGTCTCCTCCGTAGCCTCTCCACTTGCTGTTATCCGGAGCGATCGTTCGTTCGTTCGTTCAACCTCGGCAATGGTAGTTCATCGGCCGTCGGCAGTGCAGCAGAGAAAACAACAAATAGATATGAGTTTTGTGTTCTGTGCTCAACTGAAGAAAACCGGCGACTTACCATTGTTTTCGATTTTCTCCAACTTGGCCGTCATGGGCCGAGAACTGACTGCCATCCCACGGTCCATAGGATTCAATGAGGGATGGCTTTCCAATCTACACCGGAGACGACCGGCTTGAGTGAGGCTTGGGATAACAGAGGTGCGATCGATCGATTCGAATAATTAAAACAACTCACCTGTTGACGGCCGAGCTTGGAATTCTCTCCTGAATACCATAGAAATCCAATGAGGGAGAGAAGTCAGAGCTGTACATTCAATTAACACTCTTGATAATAGGCTTACCTCATTGCGATCGATCGATCGATCGGCCGATTGGATAAAGAACTCTTCCTACCGGTATACGTGGTACTCTTGTCGGCCAAGCTTGGATTTCTCTCCTGTTTGCCACGCAATTCAATGAGGGAGAGAAGTGAGTGCTGCACCTTCAACAATGGACTTGGCTGGACCTGTACCGGTACGTACTATCGTAGTGCTGTAGTGGAGAGGTGCGCATGCGATTGGATTAGTTTAACCTTATCCTTAGATCCACGAATCAATCTAAATCTTTCGAAAGGGAACTTTTTACTTAACGATACACATGACTGTTGATTCTGCAACTGAAGTGCGGGTACACTAATTTACACAGTAAACGCCGGCAAATCGATTTTGGAGTGCAACTGAGGGGGTAACCAAAAGGAGCGCCGTCTCAAAGAGACGGAACAATACTTGGCGTCAGGCTTGACTGTCACTCCATCACGAAAGCCACCGCCCATGGACAGGACTTTAGGAAGAGCAACAATACTCATCAAGCAAGCATCAGTGGCAAAATCAAGGCAGCCCTCTTCATAGTATTCTACCCTGGAAGCGCGGTTCATGGTGAAAGCTTGTAAGTACACAACGGCGAAATGGCGCAAAACAGTGTCACAATGAGGCTGATCTTTTTCGTTCTTATTTTTTCAGTTCAGCGTGATTTCTTCTCGAGCGTGCAAACCCACGCTGATTTCGATATCTTCGATATCTTTCTTCCAATGCGATATAACAGTTTCGGCCGCTCACTATTCCAACACGACAACAAACTAACTTGCCCCTACCAACATGGATAACAGTATCGGCATGCCACTCTCCAATGACATGATAGCAAGCCACTATACATTGTTGAGTACGGGACATCACGTGCCGAAGAAAGAAACATAAAATATTGGCTCACTATCGAACAAAGTCAATGCCACAACAGCAATATCCCTTGGTTTCGGCAGTTTTTCATTGACCGACGGCAGTTACTGTTGGTGAACACACCTCAACACATTTTATGTTTCTTTCACCTCACAGAGATAGAGCATTGTCTACTCTATAAGATGGAATATAACAACATAGACATGCGATGTGGTTTTCGAGGAATGGCAATAGGTCTAAGCTAGTCTCACAATGGAGTTTTCTCACTTTTCTTGTCGCGATAGTGCTAGTAAACGGTGCATGTTTCACACTTTTAAGAAAACACCCCGTGGGACATCCTTAAAGAAGACATCAATGAAAAATCGTGACTAGACACTACACTTTGCATTAACGCTTATATTTGTTTTATTTAGAAGAAAGCGCGCCAAGTGGTGAGGCGACCTCTCGGTTCTGTCGGAATTTCGTCTCCCGGAGACGATTTGCTTTTAGGGGTAAGGGTACTTTTGGGGAGTGGAGGTTTGAATTATACCCCGCGTGCATTACTTAGAGGCCTCTGTAGAAGTCTACGTATTCGACTAGTATTGTATTGACGGGATACAGTCAACGCATGTACATGCACATGAAAGTCGCCTTGCGTTCTTCACATGTTTTGCATGAATGACGAGGGAGCAGTTTCGGGGCTTTCGGGGCGACTAGTATTGTATTGACGGGATACAGTCAACGCATGTACATGAACATGAAAGTCGCCTTGCGTTCTTCACATGTTTTGCATGAATGACGAGGGAGCAGTTTCGGGGCTCGGGGCGAAGCTGAAAGGGATGAGCGGGCGGAGCGCGCGAATACTGTTTCAATAAAGGGAGTTAGGTGTTGGTAATAAAAGATTTATGGAAACGGAGACGACCCAGGGGGCATATGAATCATTTCAAGTCCAGATCGTGACTAACCCGCCGATCAGCCACCACTATCGATAGGCAATGCCATTACATCAACACATTGACTGAAGTTGGCAATGGTGGCTTCTTTGTTTGAAGCTTGCGTCTTGTTGGATTTGAGTGGGCGCCGTGCTTCTCTTCCTGTTTCGACGATGGAGCTTTCTAATTTTCTGAAACGGGGTTCCTACTCACAAAAACTGGAAAAACGGATACGATGGTTTGAATGCTGTCGATGATGGATGCAAAAATGGAGATTGACAAGGCGACACGGCCTGATACGTTCATAGTGATACCATGGCATACTGTCAGCAACAACAGAATGAATTGGCTTTAGCGTTGGCATTGAGCCAACAAACAGCCCGAGAAGAGCGTGTCCGTCGCCGTCAAGAACAGCATCCGGAACAACGGCTTCCACTCCAACAACTTCGTTTGCAGCAGCAACAAGAACCACCCCTGCAGCAAAACTCGCAGCAGCAGTCACAGCAGCCGCCACAGCAACAGCAACAGCAACAACCACAACAGCAGCCACAAAAGGATCAGAAAAAGCGTGCTGCTTTTTCGAGAACAGCAAGAACTGGCAAGGAGTGGAGAAAGGAGCTACTTTGGATTTATGGAGGGCTCCATGAATCTCGGTCCAACGAGAATGCCAACCCAAAGATGATGCTTCAGGGCTTTTGTGTTGAGGTGGATCGCTTCTCTCAATACAAGCAACTGTTGCAGGTCTGGAAAGAACTTCAAAAAAACTGAACCTCTAATAACGGATTCAGACAAGATGTGCTTGAGGACGACCCACGAGCCGAGGCCCGGGTATTTCCCACAGTCCAGTCTGCTCACTGGCCACACAGGTCTGGAAAGAACTTCAGCTCGAAGATTGCTTGTCCAAAAGAGTGCCCTCATCCGATGCGATGTTGATCAACAAGATCAACTCTCGCTTTCCGTGTTCAGCTTCTACGGATCCCATTGAAATTGGAGACGACTGTAGCTGCTAGAGTAGTAGTACGCTCCCATTTGGAAGAAGTTTTGGAAAAAGAGTGGTCAGCGGTATGGTACACTAGCTAGTGCTAGCTTCGGCGGATGTCGCATGGTTGCATTGTCGGATGTTGGGGGATTTGGCTCAAAGATTTCAATGTCCCAGTCACTGCCACCCCACCAACAGATTTCGGTTGAATCGAATCGAATCGAATCAATCTCGAATGGAATGATTTCATTCGATTTTCCAGCTTCAAGGATGGGGTAAACTTCAAAGAGAGGGGTACACCGTTTAGTGTGTTGTGATTTTCGATCAGCCAAAAGTTCCGCTTGGTTGTGATTTCTCAATTCCTTGCAAACACCAGGTGCCCTCAACTCGCTTTGTTCAAGCAAGATTCACCTACTGCCATCCGGTCCTTTGCGTGGCTAGCTAGCTAGTCTAGAAAGAAGCACACCAACGTAATCTGACAGCAGGAGGGCTGAAAAAGAAATCATGGTGCCAATGTGGGCTACCGGTACTAAAATTTCGTATCTAGCTGGTCTATATAAAATCAGGAATCAATTCCGTACGAATCCAGTCATCTTCATGGTGAAACCGACACAGCAAGAAATATGCTCCGTTTCGAAACATGAATGTATATTGTACGTGTGTGATGCGTAAAGATAATGGTGTAGTTTCGGAGCGTTCGATTGGTATCAATCCACCATAATCAATCAATCTTCTTGCCACTGCCACTTTTCCCACTTCTGTGGATTTCAAGCAATTCTGCACATTGTTGCATGGCAAAGTAATGTGATAGGGCAGCACCAACATGCCAAAGAGGATGGTAGGCAAGGGCCCCTGGACTATCACATGTGCCCTCTTCGTAGTGTTTTCGTTCAAATCCCCAGATAACTTTTGCAATCACAAGAGACCCAACAGAAGCATACCACTTTTGCTGGGAATGATTAAACCTCATTCCAACATCAAACAACAGCAGGAAAACACAAATTGCCTGAATGGTGAATCCAATGTTGAAATGCTCATACACATTGGTGTAAGCATAGATAGCCCAGTAGGCAGCCACCCATATGTGATACCAATAATACAATGGTGCTCGCTTCCCTTTGCTTGGCGTCAACCAAAGGGTTGCATCCTTTAGGGTATGGAGGTGTGCCATGAGAAGCATGCTCATGAGTATTTCATCAAAATTCTGCGATACTTTGGACTGATGAGCATGAAAGATCATACTACCAAATCCAATCCCAAAGCACATGACAACTTCAGCGGCCCAGAATGCACCAGTCAACTTCAGCTCCACACAGCGTTTCATTCCAATGAGCCCTGCAAAGCAAAAGGCAAGATTGGACCAAAAATTGTAGTATTCCGCGATCCAATCACTGTGAGCATGCCTGGCAACCACATCCTCGCACCATTTTATGTTGGTAGTGCCTCGTTGAAACTGGTCACTCCATGAGACTTCGGCCATATTGATGAAGGTTTTGTTCTCAGCCGTGGTGATCTTGTTCCACTATTCAACCAGCGCTGGAATGCTGATCTGCAGCTCTTTGCGTCTTCCTTCCGCGAACAAATGAGAGGACCTTTTGCTTGCTCTTATGACAGAAGAAGCGGGTTCCACAACAATGCAAACATGAGGATCCAAAAAATGCACACCTAACCTTGTACCGGTCACCGTGGGCTTCTTGATTCTTGATTTCAGTCCTCCATCCTCCAAGACGCCAGCAAGCTAGCTTCATTTAAGCAGGCGTAAGGCGAGGTTTTGGTAAATAGGCGTGAAACTGTACACAAATTTCGATACTCTGTCCTCACAAAAATGAACCGTTGGAGGCACCAATTTTGTCAAGGTGCAAACCATTTGACATTTGACAAGCCAGAAAGACAGAAAACAGCATTTGCAACCAAGGCAACCATGAGGAAGCTCAGGACGATGACTATTCCAGCCGTCGCTATCTTGGTAGCCATCATAGGTATGGAAATCGTTCCAGTAGTGTCAGAACGGGGGCTTTTCTCAAGGGGCAGGAGGAAAGCGAATGGGGATATCGACAATATTCTGGAACGAGCTGCATTGGAAGATGCATCACCAGCTCAAGACTACGACCTAGATGATCTTCTGGAAGAACAATTGCAACAGCGAGATGGCAAACTTCATCATACCGGTACAATCCGAAAAATGCTTCATCGAAAGCGAAAACGAAAACGAAGAAACGACAAGTATACCCAAAGGGCATTGGAACAAAGAAAACTGCAGAAGATGGGAAGACGGAGAAATTCTCGCCAAGGAGATGCGCGTTTTTATACGAGTAGCAGCAGCAGTAGCAGCAGTAGTAGTAGCAGCAGTAGCCGAAGTTTTGGAGGCAAGGGAAAAGGCATGCGAAGATCCATGATTGGCAGTGGCAAGGGGATGGGGCGATCCAAGGCAAGACGCTCGAAGCGGCGATCGTTCCAGACTTTATCTCCCACATTTACGTCCATTCCGTTCACTCGATTCCCTACCTTTCAGCCAGTAAGCACACCAGCCCCTACCACGGCCAGTCCAGTAACCACCCCTGCCCCAACCACGGCGGCCCCGACGACTCCTACAACTCCCACCACATCAGCCCCCACCCAACCGCTCACGCCAACCATTTCCAACCAGCCATCGCTCAGCAGGGTACCTTCATCTCAGCCGAGTACTTCTGACTCTCCAAGTTTGAGTAAGAACCCGTCACAACAGCCATCCTTATCCGACGCGCCGTCGTTGAGTAACAACCCTTCATCTTCAACATCAGCTCCTACCACCTCAACCTCAGCTCCCACTCCGACATAATTGATGAGTTTGCAAGTAATTGAAAGATATTGCGGGGTGGGGCATGGCAGCAAATGGAATGGGTTTACTATTTCTACAAATGCCATCACAGGATGGTGGCGTCTGCCTACATTTGGTGGTTTGCATAGACTCCAATCATCTCATAACAGTGCCGTGCTTTCGGGGCCAGAGCTCAAGAGTGAAAGGGCGACCAATTAATTTTTCAATGCCACATACGTTTGATGAAGGTGAACATGCCGAGGGTTGGGCTGGACTGGGGCAGGAGAGACACACAATTGGACTTCGGGTAGGTACGGTAGCTAGCCAATGCACAACAGTCACTACAGCAGGCATGAACTTGCATTGACACGATTGTCATCAAGGGATAGTTTTAATTAAAGTACTAGTAGATTCAAACGTTGAAAAGGGAGCAATTATGTTGTCATATCCTTGCATCAACTACCAGTATCAGACTGTGGCTCCACATCATACTAGTACGCATAACTCCACATGTCTGCCGATTCTCGAAGGAAACAAAACCATACATTGAGAGCCGCTGCTGGATCCAGTCTCACTGCCAGACTATTGTTTTGAGTGTATTGTTGTGGGATATTATGACATCCTCGTTGCACCACGGGTCGTGGCTTTCCTGTGATGGCTGCAATCTTCCAACGCGCAAGAAACTCGGTGAATTGTGACAGGGTAATGGTATCATCTTGCAACCGTAGATTGCGTCGTCCACACCAATTCAATCGGGTCCAACCGACAATTCGCTTACTGTGAGTGCAACGAAAGTCCGGCACGGCAACATCCTGCAAGACATCGTTGCCTTCTTCCAGAATATTGGCCAATAGTTTGCGTGACGAGGGTTGTGTCAGACTGTCTTCACAGTACAACGTCTTTAAACTCTTGTTGATTTTCAATTCGTGAGAGATGCCCTCCAGGCGGATTCGTACGGCATTTCTCAGCTCCAACTTTTCCACAATGTTCCTTCGGAGCATGGAATCGACCAGAGCTGTGACATCATGTTCCTCATTCTCACGACGATACAAAGACAACGTTAGTTCTTTGAGATTGGGAGCCAATTGAGACACTAGTGCTAACAGGTCATCGGCTGTGCCACCATTCTTGAGTTGAAGATCACAAAGTTCCAAAACTTGAAGGTTTGTTGTTGTTGGGGAGGTGATGGTTGATGGCACAATCTCTCCTTGCAAATCGACATGTCGTAGGATCAAACACCTTGCTCTTGTCAGCAGACGTTGCAAGTGTGGTACATGAATGGGATTGGTGGGCCATTTTCGTTCCTTGGCGACCAAGATCGAGTCTAGAATCAAATCTTCTTGATCTAGTTTGTCGAGCATGTACTCCACACTGGGACGTCCATTGGAGGCTGTGAGTGCTCTGGAAAAGCAGGTATATCCGGTGTATGGATCTACGTGACAGAGTCCTTGGGGGTAGGCATCGACGAGTGCTTGAATCGCTGGTAGAGAAGCATAACTGCGACAGAGTTGTAATGGTAACAATTTCTTGGCGTTTGGAGTAGCAGCGGACCCAGGACATGAGTTGACCAGGAGTGGAACGAGCAAATCTGGATTTCGTTGTCGACAGTGACCTCCACAAACATCATGGAGGAGCAGATTGCCATTTTTCTCTCGTGGGTGGAGGAGAGCTTGTGGATAGAGGTCGATGACGACTTTCAAGAGTGTCATGTTGTCAAATTCCGATAGCAACAACAGGTAGGCCAATGGGTAGAAGCCATCTTCATCTTCCGTTCTATCACTGAAAAAGAGACAAGTTCGAGAAGATTTTGGTTTTTGGAACTTTTCAGCTGCCAATTTGGGATGTTGCTGCAATAACGAAACCACTCTTCCAGGCCACTTGGTATCAATCAACGTCACATTCCCCGATTCTCGATGTCGAGTAATGCCAGGCACTGTCAACTTCAAGTCGGCTGCCACCAGCTCCCGAGCCCTTTCTTCGCTGACGGTTTCACGGTCGGGGAGGAGAATGGGTGTCATGATGTCTTCTTTCATGGTCGGTTGATCCAAGAGTCTTTGGATTGTGAATATGGATGCTGATTGTCTCCAAAGAACTTTCAAATCCAAGACACGAAAGACCGACGTTGTTGTTCCGGGTGCTGGTTTGAATCGACTAAATAAGCCAGCCGATCTACTAGCAATATTCTTTGGCGAGGTACCGGTACCGTACCGGTGCGTGCAACACGAGGGAACAGACAAGAGCAAGAGCTACAGTACTGTATCGGTACGTGTAGTATGGCATAGAGATCAAGCGTATTTGCCTGCAAGATATTCAATACTAGACTAGCTAGTAAGCCAACATACACATCAAGACCTTACAGGTACTGGTACCAGTAGTAGTGTAGAGTACATCGTCGTACCCCGTTTGGCTCTACGGTAAGTCGTGGCAATCGGACAGGCGGGAGCGAGAAGAAACGCCAGATGGCACTTGAGATACTAGTACATGTAGTACATGTTCGGGGCGTGATCGTGTCCAAGTGATGCCAGCAATCCGTTGTCTTTCAAGCTCAATAAAGTGGTAAGCAATGGGATCTAGCTAGTACCGGTAGCCTGGACAAAAGATCCCACAAGGATCATTGAAGGTCTCTATCTAAAAAATCTGGCACCGTAGGACAGACTGTTGAAAGCTCATCATTGGGACATCCGTGATGCTTCAGGTAGTTTGGTTAACCTTAACCCCAAACACTTCCGTCATTGTTTGGCACTTTTCCTTTCAAATCCAAGTTCCGAGCATCAAGATTTGTGATGGCCGCCAGGCATGGCACTGGCAGCTTGCTGGTCTTTGCTGTTGCTGTCTAACTTTGTGTCATAAAATCCATTATCTTGTTCAATCAATCAATCAATCAACCATCAAGATGACATCCAATCTTGTTTTTGTCGGAACTGTTGTTTGGGGGGTCTTCCTCCTCTCTGTGAATGTGTCGGCCATGGCCATTGCCTTGCGGCCACCGCGCGTCAACAGCAGGGACGCTGCACTGCCACGGGTATCCATACAAGCGGGTGAGGACATGAACCTGCTGGATCAAGATGGACCTCTTACTCTGGGCAAACCCATTGCCTTTGAAACTCCCCTCTTTCGAGGACAAGTTCTCTTGCGCCTCCAAAGCGCTCGTTCGGAGGATCATGACCCAAAGCGTCACGACGAGTACTTTGCTCCCGGCCGCAAAGATCGATTGATGCAAACGGTCTTGCAGGGACAATTTCTCTTGCCCAATATTAAAATGTCGGACATTTATGTGGGAAGTGTCTTTACCCAACCCCTCGTCAAGAAACCACCGGCCATGGTAGCCAAGATACTCGAAAAGGCACTCAAGAGGTCCCAACCAGGTGCCATTGTCGATCTACGTGCCGATCAACCCAAGACTCTGGCAATCTATGCCGGAACGGCACAATCCCTCAGTATCGACTATGATATTGATAGTCTTCCCGACATGTTGGCCACCGACATTCCTGAAAATGTGGCCAGCCATTTGCCATTTGGCACGGCGAGCCAGCGGGTCAAAACATTATCCCGACCCGAACATGCGGAACAATACGAGTTTGATACCGACCATGTCTACACCTTTCATTCCTTTAATGAATTCATGGATTATGGTACGGGAACTATTAAGGTACCCATCTATGGACGCTATAATTTCATACCTGCCGTGGGACCTCAGCCGCTCATGGTCAGTGCGGTTTCGGGTGAGGGAGAGACGGTCTTTTCATTGGCAGTGCATCATGACTAATGGAATACCGGTATACCGTAGAGTTTGATGGGCTACTTAGACCACTTGAGCTACTACCAGCTACTATACAACAGCGAACCTGAATAACACCGCGGAGGAATGATGGGAATGCTACAACCAGACCTAGCTAGGTCCACAACTACAAGTAATAGCTATAGAAATGACCATCACTTGACTCGTTAGTGGTTTACATCCTCTAAGGGTACGTAGCTACAACGTCATTATTAGCTTCTAGCTAGAGATGGCAGAGTTGCCGAAGTAGAGAAATAATAATGTATGGTTGTACTGGTTAGCCTTCCCTACTAGACTAAGTCTACCAACCGCATTGATGGTTTACTTTTGTGGATTGTCGTCATTGTCATCTTCCTGGTCAGAGACCCATGAAGCGACTTGTTCCCGAGGCCAAAAGTCCTCTTGGCTATTGTTGTCATCGTCACCGTCTTCCTCGAGCCATTTTGTCATGTCATCTTCGTCATCGTCACTACTGACAACTCCTGGCGGAGGAATGGAAATAGGTTGGTAAGGATCTAGTACCAATCCCCGTTCTTTTCGCAATCGTTGTTCCATGGCTTGTCGTTTACGGCAGTTTTGGACAAAGAGAATTTGGGCGCGTAGATTGGGATCTCTTGGATGAAGTAGAATGTCTTTGTGCTCCTCTGCCGGAATGTGCTCATCGTGTGCTTCCACCTGGAGACTGCCCAGCACTCCCAAATTCATGACGGTGGCTGTATGACTGGTGTTGCTGGTTTGGTGCTGTCGGTGAGCCATTTTCCACTGTTCCTTGTATTCCTCCATGAGCACGGGACAAAATTGATCGGCAATGCCCGAATGACCCGCCGAAAGTGGAATTTGCTCCAGACCTCCTTGCGCTTCGTTAATATCCACCATGTATGTTCCAGTAACGGCTCCCGCCATGAAACAGCATGTGAAATCCAAGGCAAACGTGGCAACAGTCCTCAGTCGACTAGTACTGCGTTGGTTGTTGTTAGTACCAGCATTGGCAACGGCTTCGGGAGAAGGAAGATTGCCAAATGGGTGTTGCTGCTGTTGTTGCAGTAATCGTCGTTCACGGCGCCGACGGTAGGATCCACGTCCCATTCGTAGCATGGCCAAGGTCCCAAGGCCAGCCGCCACGCAGTACAAGGTGGGATCACTGTACAGGCTCTCCAAAAAGTCGTGCTCGTCGTCCCTCAACAAGTGGCTGTTCTCATGGTACAACAACCACTCATGGACACTTTGAAAGGCATTTCGGAATTCCCACAAGATGTGTGTTTCGTAGTCTTGTCGCAGTCTCTTCTTGTCCTCATCATTATTGCTGGTATTGTTGTTGCCGTTGGAGGTTGTCATTGTCGCGTCTTCTGCCCTTTCTTTTTGGTGTGGTGGTGGGGTGGCCAAGATTTGGAGCAGGTGTGCGGCTTTTAAACTGGAGCCTCTGCGGCCTAATCGTGACGTCCAACTCAAGACCCAGAGGTGAAAAACTCGTCACGGCAGGCAACTTGAAGAACAAACGGCCCAACAAGCCACTTGCGCCAATGACAACTCCACAATCTTAGTTGCTTTTACCGAAGAACCATGGCCGACGATGAAGTGCAAGTATTGAATGTGGTGGTGGATCTGACCAATACGCCTCCTGGAAGGTCTCCCAAGACTATGTCGGGTGTCAAACGAAAACCAAGCCATATGCAACGCAAGACGGTCCGGTTCGCCACGGTTCTAGAGACAGTCCACCAACTGCCATCGTTTGTCGAAGGACAAGACCCTGCCGACAACGAAGACGAAGAGAAAACTGGCGAAAAAATAACAAGACTCACGAGCGAGTTCATAGTACTGTCCTCCAAGCATGGTAGAGAGCGTCGAGAGCTGCGAGAGATTGATGTGCATGATTTGAAGGCTGCTGTCAAGTACGGAGTCAAGACACCAGGGTACCCATGCCGGAGAACAGGCCGGGCTTCATGGAAGTACACATATGGAAACATTGTCTATGTTACTGACGCCACAAGTACCCGAGAAATCACTTCGTACAAGCAACCCATTTCCATTTCACGGGCACCCATATCCGATGAGATGCTGCAACAGCACAAACAGGATCTCATGACCCTGCGCCACGATCCACATGTTTGTGCGACACATTCCGTCATCATTGTTGATCAGAGCGGGTCTATGAAAAAATCTGATGTCAAGGGATTCCGAAATCGATCGCAGGCTGCTTACGGAGTCCTAGCATTGGAGTATATTGCGGAGCAATTGTATCAGCGTGGAAATGACAAGATTCTCGACGCGGTTTCAGTGATTGAAATGAATGACAACGGCACCTTGATTTTCGACCGACAGCCCATGGATTGGATCCTGTTCAATAATCTCCTGGATCGTCAAACAAATGCCATACCCGAGTCCCATGGCAACTACTATTATTCACTGAATGTGGCCGCCGATCTTATCAACCGTGAGACTCAGTCGGCGGCGCAGGACTTGGATCCCGAGGACTTGCCATCGTATGCATGCATTTTCCTTTCCGATGGAAAGCCAAGTGACTACGACCCCCTGTTTATTGGTTTGCAGCAACAAGTGCTTCAGGGACTCGCCGACAACTTGAAGGACAACTTTAGCTTTCACGCCATTGGATTGGGGCACTCGGACTCGGACTTTCGGGCACTGCAGCGTTTGGCGTTGGCCGTCGAAGAGCGTGGTTCCACAGGGACCTATCGATTCGCTGCTTTATCAGGAGCTCAACTTACCGGCGCGTTCACTACTGTTGCCACGAGTGTCACTGCCACCAGAACTGAGAAAACTGCTGGGGGGCTCACCAAGGCACCCCGAGAAAAGAAGACTGTGGAGCTTCGAAGCAAGTCAGTTCCCACCTCTGAGCGCAAGTTCACGCGATACCTCGATGGCATTTCTCGCTGGGGCTATGATCACCAAAAATACCGTAACAAAGACAGCTGGCCTTGGAAGCAGATGAAGTTTCGACATGCTAACTCTGTGGGCTTTGACATTGAAAAGTCTCCGTTTGGACAGGGTGCCGAGCGTTTGGCATACATGTTCTATGAAGTCAACGGGCAGCGCAAGCGAGTGGGGAAGGCCATGGTTGCCAAGGAAACCATTTCCTTGGAGGACGAGGAACGGAGGGTCAAGTTTCACGAAACGTTTTGCCGTGTACAGCAGAAGTCCAACGAGTTTGCGCAAAGCTTCAATCGGGAAGTCAAGAAAACACCCGTCCTGCTTCCAGTCGACTCGTCTCAGAGAACCCCTGATATTCGCTTCTTGGACTGCTGTGTCTACGAATACATTGATGATGACGGTACTGCTTGCGGACTTCTAGTGGAAGGTTTCCTCAAAGGAAAGTTCACCAAGTTCAACAGCAACAATGGGTATGTCAAGAAGCGGACGCCAAATGAGCGCAAATTGGAACTCGCCTGTGGGGAGGTATTTCTATCCGACTTCGTTCAGTCCTTTTCCCACTGGGTATACGTCCAAACCGACCACAAACTCATTGTGTGTGACCTTCAAGGTGTGCTCAATGAAGAAGGTCGGCATCCGAGGTTCGAGTTGACGGATCCTTGCATCAATTGCAAGGAGAAGGGAAGCCGCAAGCTGTACGGTGGTACCAATCTTGGATTGAAAGGGCTCCGGGCTTTTCGAAAGCATCATGTATGCACTGCTGTCTGCAAGGGCTTGGGACTTCCGCCGTTCTGAAAGAATGAATGAAAATCAAAGAACACCTTGGATTTTCTCCCGAGTATGTCAATCGCTAATGGGGTTGAACAACGAGGTGGGGAATGAAACTGAACCAACTTAACTACTAGGAACACTATTTGCATGTAGTTGTGTAGATTATTTAGTGACGTACTGCACTATCTCTCTTAGCACAGAATCATTAGCTCTTGTTCATGTTCATGTCGTTCACATCCTCTCTGTCCGCCAATCCAAAGACTGGGGTTTAGACTGAGCAACCCAAAGTGGATGTTGAACAGATCGATCTGTCGCCAAAATGGTTTCAAGTCCTCATCTTCGGCAGCAGCACCCAGCATATTGACGAAATCTAACTTGGAGAAATTGGAAGCACTTGCTTGTTTCCTTCCGTACTTGTTCAGATTGGTGTAATAGGCAATCCTCGCCTTGGATTCTCGATTCATGCCGTTTGCGTAAGTGTATTTTTCCAGCGTTACACTGGTCTGCAAGGCATCTACGAGCCTGTCTTGGTTCTTGACACAACATCCTGCCGAGACTTCCAAATGCCTCAAGGAGGGACTTTGTTGTATCAGCAAAGCCAGTGGAACGGACAAATCTGAGGGTCCCGTGTAGGCAATCCGTAGTCGTGCAAGCCGTGGCATTTGGCCCAGTTGTGGTAGTAGCTGATGGTCCCAGTTGGGTCCTTCGAGGAGGATTGTTTCACACCGACACTTGCTCAGGTCTTGATACTGTTGAATATTATCGAGGTCGCTCAGTACAGTGAGACCCAATAGATGCAATGTTTGGGGCTGATGTGGCCCCGACAAAAGGTTCATGAGTGGTGTCGCATTCTGGAGACAGACTCCGTAGAGGACTAATTGTTCCAGGGTTTGGTTGATCTCAAAGCCTCGCACCAAGGCGGCGATCCATCCGTCATCGCCATATTCGTCTTCCACATGATGAAGTATCCCGGATCGTTCTTCATTCCGCAGTGTCAATTCTCGTAGATTAGGTGCATTGGCCATCATTTCTTGCAGAGCTTGTTGTGCATCGGGATCGGTAATGAGTATTCTCCGTGGGACATCCATCACTACCTTTTCTAATTGAGTACTGCACCCCATGGCTTTGACTAAATGACAAAATGCCTTGTTGGTCCACATTTTCCCATGACATTGCGTGTATGTAAATGTGGTCAAGGTGGGAAGTAGATTGGCCAGAGCCCGGGCATGTTTCAATCCAAAGCGACCATCGTCAGTCCGCGCGGGAACGGAAAAGGACGAAATAGTTCGACTGTCCGATGCAACTTGAAACAGATACTCCAATGCCGTGGCAGATAGATTGCTTTTGAGCGACAAATCCAATGGCGTGAGTCCCAAATCGTTGGTCATGAGCAAGGACTGTTGCGCTCGGGGCAAGAGGACATCAATATGTTGTCGCGTCAATTCTCTTCCACTGCGTCCCGACAAGATGAAATGAAGGGGACAATATCCGACTCGATTGGGCAACGCCTTGGCATCGGGATCCCGTTCGACGAGAAATTCCATAGCAGCGGCACTGGCTCGAGCCATGCAGGCAAAATGTAGAGGTGTATTTCCCCATCGATCCTTGTAGTGAATGGCGCCCGGAAACATGGCAAAGACTTCTCGGATACACGGCAGAGAGGCATTCTTTTCCACGAGAAATGCCAATGGCGGATACTTGTTCTTGAGGGGTCGACAGTCGGAAAAGGATTCCGACGCCAATGTATTGTGCGTTCGTAGCAATTCTAGGACGCGTTGTTCTTGTTCTGTGCTAATGGAGTAGAGTTCGGCATCGGCGGAAGACTGGTCGGGAGACTTCCAATCAATGAGATCGCCCAGTTCTAGTCGAGCGGCACGAAGATCCAAGCGACGGTCCGGTCGAGTGCACGCCGTTCGATGGTTTACATGGGAGGAGCTTCTTCTCTTGGCGCGGCTGGGAGGCGTCGAAGAGGACACCATGGTCAATCATCAATAATGGCTACCATACAAGCATACACGAGTAACCTATTCCGTCGTTGTTTTTGTTGCCTGGGTGTTCTTTCGACTTTCGTCGAATGAGGTTGAAAATTTTGCTGACCTCTTTCGCATGTCTCACTCATTCCCAGCTTTTGGTCATGGGGAACTCGTGTTTACCAAAATGGTATCTTTTTTGGATCCAACTCGTGCGTGGCCGATCAAGCAAGTGACACTCCGCTTCCCAGTCTTCTTCTTTGGTCTTTTGTGGTGCCTTGGTGCTGCTCCGATCGGTGACAAGCTTCTTCTTTGGCATCAAGCCGAAGCGATCACTGTAGTACAAGAGCCGAACTTCGCATTGGAATCCCATCAAAAAAGAACAAATCAAATCCAACCGGAACTTCTTCTGTGATACCGGGGCATACTCGTATCCATCTCGTATCTATCTCGTTTGCTGGGTTGCTATCTTCCTGATCTTTGACATAAAAAAGAAAGATCGAGCCAGAGATCTCATCCAACCACGTACTCACTTCTTTGATAATATCCATCCACCATGCTCCTATCACCGTTGGCTACCCCCTTTCAACCAGCCTTTGGCTCCTCCAATGCGGTGGTCTTTAATGATGGCGTCCCCTGCATGGTAGAAGATATCCATGATGTCATTCAGGGGTATCAAGACGAAACACTCGATGAAAGCTTCCCTCCGTCGGCACAAGAGGCCGCCGAGCTAGAAGCCGTAGAGACCTTTGTGGACATTATGGCCACTCTCTCCTTGCTTGAAGAACGCGAAGAAAAGGCTCGCTCCAGCTTTTGTCATGTCAAGAAACGCTGGGAGGCGCGACGAGTAGATGGCCTGGTTGGAAAGCCACATCCCGCCTTTCACTCGGTCAACAGTGTCAAGCGCAACAGTGGCAAGCAACTCAAGACGACCGATCTGGTTCCCTTCCTCCTGTCGGCGGCGCCTAACACGGCGTTGCTCCAGAACCAGCAGCGGACCCAAGCACGGGACGAGTACCGTCGTATGCGCGCCGAAAACAAGGCACGAAGCACTCATCAACAGCCAAGGCCACTCCAGCAGCCACGAAAGATGAACTAGACTAACTAGCCAGCCAGCCAGCTAGCTAGTTTGTATCGACCAATCGGCGCATGCTAGAATGTAATATCACATGCATCATGCATTCATGGCTGTCAAGTTACCTTGATATACATATTGATTGATGGACTGCTATCATCAATGTGTTTTGTGAGAAACCAATCTTCACCAGGAAAACAAAAGAAACAACAGAAAACAGACAAACAAGAAACAAAAAAGAGAGGTACAGCACCGTACGACTACTAATAACATGCATCATACCCTTTCAGGCTACCGTACTTCGAGTGCCGAGGGATGATGACCGCAAAAACCATCTCGGTTTCCTTGCCGCCAAGGGACTGAGATCACAGAAACAAGAATCTATACATAACACCAGCTTCCTCGGAATGACTAACTAACTATACATAAGATGATTGGTTTCCTTTTGTTATCTTCAGTTGAGCTATCTTAATGAACCATGGATGTAGACTAAGGAGTGGCTACACCATAAAGGTCTTCAGCCCACGGTTCAGGGGTAGCCTGCGGAAGTCTGGTGTATCCTTGGCGGGAGCCCTGAATTTTACAAGGATGACCGTCGTGGGATGACTGGCTAGCTAGGATTGCCCTCCCACTGGCTACTAGTAGCTAGTCTAGCTGTGTCCTTGAATGCCATCACCAGTTGCATGGCAGACTACGAAGTACACGTGTCTCGGCCCACGAAGACGATACTGCCGTGGTCCATTCAACTAGCTAGCTAGACAGTACTTTAGAAGGAATACGTTTCCATGCTTACAGCAGTTTTTAGCTAGGTTTGATTAGCAGTGCGTTGCTGTCCTCTCCGCCATCGGACGTCTTTTAAAGCTTCCGCTGTTGTCTATAGCTGGCTTGCTGCGTACTAGTTGATCAAATAGGTCCACCCGAAATGGCAATGGCCGCGACCACTCCCAAGACAATAATGGCCACAAAGGCTCCAGCGGCTTGTACGACGAACCCCTTATCCGTTTCGACGCGAGAGTCCTCCAACTCGGCCAGACGATCCAATCTGTCTCGCTTGGTACCACTACGGGAGGCATCCCTCTTGTCGTCCGCCAAAAACAGTGTCGTCAGTGGCGGATCATGATGTTGGTAGCCAACGCTTCCTTGAGACTGCAGTAGCGAAGCAGGTTGCCGGATGCTAAAGGCGTCCGTCGCAACCACCGACAGCAGCAAAGCGAAGAGTAGGCATTCCACAACACGCATCATCGTCATCATTCTCCTTCTTGTCATCCAGGTGGTAGCAGACGAGCCAATGATGTGATCTGTTCCTCGTGTTGTGTTGCTCAAGCATGTGCCAAGAAACCAGAACAAGCATGTCATCAAAGATCGCAATCACGATCATTCCCGAACCCACGCGTCCGCCAGTGATGATATCCTTAGCTCTATTAATACCGTAGATACCAGCGTCTGAACCAGAACCAACCAAATCTTTGGTCGATCTTTACGTCGCTCAAACCACAGTCATCACATCCATCATTCATCAAGCTTGTGTTAGAGACTGTTGTTGGATTGTGGCTTTCTACTCGTACCGTATCACTTCAAGCAGATCTAGCATAGGATGAGTGAGAAAGAACAGGACGTGACCATGGCAGGGACCGAAGAATCGTCGGCAGAAGCGAAGACAGTCAAAAAGGAGGAGGATCATCCACCAACAGTGGCGGAAGCATCTACTAGCACCCAAGACAAGAAAGAGGAAATCAAGCAAGAGGAAGTCAAGAAAGAGGAAGTCAAGAAAGAAGAAGGAGATGCTGCAAAGGCGGATGATGATGAGGAGAAATCGAAGGATGAAAAAGAATCCGTTGTCGAAGCCAAAGATGATAAGGAGGATACCACCAAAAACAACACTAATAATAGTAAGGAATCTTGGGACCACAGCAACCGCAAAGTCATGGTGCTGAATTGTCTCAAGTTTCTGGACAAGAGGAGATTGACCAAGATGGTCAATTCCTGGGTTGCCGGATGCAAGGGTCAAGTGGAAGTCAAGAAAACCAAAAAGCCTCCCACCGATAGTTGGGTCATTGTCACTTTGGGACACGAATCCCAAGTCCCCATTCTCATAAACTACATTCACGACAATCAATGCACCAACAAAAAGGGAGACCGCCTTCGGGCCATTCCCGCCAACCAGGTGGATGCGGCCAGTGAACAGAAAATTAATCAAATGGAAAACGACAACGAAAGGCCTAACAAGAGGAGACACGATGATAATAATACTGCAGACGACTCTCTCTCCAAACGACAACGGGGAATGCAACAACGACGGGCGCCGGAACCGGAACCTCACGTCATTACCGAGGAAGAAATCAAAAATGCCATGATTCCACTGTGGCGGAATACGTATCCCGAACAGATCGACCACAAACAAAAGGACATGATCAAGAAGTGTGCCATGAAGGTTGTCAAGGAAATCAAAAGCAAGTTTCGAGATCTTCAAAAAGAAGCCAAACGAAACAAACATCGAAAACCCGTGAAGCCGTACGCATGGCTCAATGGGATCCGGCCCATTATCATGGAAGATGTCATACCCGCCAGGAGTATGGTACGAAACAAGTGCGAATTCACGTTTGGATATCGGTATGTACCAGCCGAAACAAAAGCCTCTATTGGTACCCCCGCGTCGACAAACAACAATGACAAGGTGAATGAGACAACCACCACGGAGGCAACTGATCAGGATGTCGAGATGAAAAAAGAAGAAACAACGCAAGATTCTAGCGGCACGACAGAGAAACAGTCGCAACCAGCAAACGAAGAAGCAACCAAACAAGAAGAGAGTACAGCTGAAACTAGCTCCAATTCCGATGCCAAAATGGATGGAGCTCCAGAAGCAAAGGCAGAAGAGACCAACACCGCAGAGACACCCGCCGATGCATCCAACACGCAAAAAGACACGACAAATAACAACAACAAAGAAGAGACCAAGATTCCTCTGAAAAAGATCCCATCCGTGGGAGCCATGGCACGGGGATGGAGTGGTGGTGTATCACATCCCAAGTGCTGTCCTAATATCCCCTCTGAAGCCTGCGCTGTCATTGATATTGTGGAGGAATTCTTGCAGACATGTCCCATGCCGCCTTATAATGCCAAGACACATACGGGCTTTTGGAGGACTCTGACGGTGCGATCCTCACGACGCACCAACCAGTGCATGCTCATCTTTATGCATGCCCCGTTGTCCGGCGGAGCAGGATCCAAAGATTCGTCGGACGTTGATAATTATGAACCCGAAGTGTTTGAAAAAGAGAAAGAGCGTTTGATGGGAATGCTCACGGATAAAGATCTGCCTGTTACCATACCCCCGTCAACTTGGTTGCAAACAGAGGAGGACGCAGCAAAGAACACGCCGACGACAATCCGAGTCACGTCCATCTTCTTTCAAGAGTTTGGCGGCATCTCCATGCCAACGCCAGAACATCCCGTGCAGGTACGTAGGTGGGCACTTACTTGTACATGTAGTTTATTGGCTGAAACCATAGACATGGACGTGATTGTGTTCAGACGTCCAACTCACTTGATATTACTTTTTGCACAGCATGCTTATGGTGACAAATTTTTGCAGGAAAAGCTGGGCAAATGCACATTCCAAATCTCTCCCGGGGCATTCTTTCAAGTCAATACTGAAACGGCAGAACTTCTCTACCAGATTGCTGCGGACAAGGTGAAAGAAGTTGCCACAGACAAACCGGAAGGAACGCTTTGTTTCGATGTTTGCTGTGGGACTGGAACAATTGGGTAAGTGCTGCAATGACTGAGCCACTTTGTGTGAGTGGCAAAGGCGGGTTAACACTGACTCGTGTTGATTTACAAATCTTATTGGATCCTCGGTCTTGCCTTTCTAAAGTTTGACGTTAATGAAAGAAGGCGTCGTGGGGAAGGTTGTGGGTGTCGATATCAGTGCTCCCGCCATTGACGATGCCAAGGCCAATGCAACCCTGAATGGCTTTGGGCCCTCATCAGACGACAACAAGGAACAGAACGAAATGACTCGGTGGGTGGCTGCCAGAGCTGAACACGTCATGAACGCGGAACTGAAACGGGCTCGCGAGGCTGGGAATTTCGAAAAGGTTGTGGCAATTGTGGATCCAGCTCGTGATGGATTGCATTTCGATGTTCTTAAGCATATCCGTGGATTTTCACAGATTGACCGCCTCGTGTACGTGTCCTGCAACCCAACGGGCAGCTTGACCAAGGACGCTGCCGCCTTGTGCACACCAGCATCCAAACGGTACCGAGGGCGACCCTTCAAACCAACCTTTGCTCAACCCGTGGATATGTTTCCATATAGTCATCATTGTGAACTGGTCATGGTTTTTGATCGGTTATCGGATGACGAGTTGGGAGAGGATGAGCTCAAGAGGGAGGATCGTTAAGGGGTAGCGGATTAACACAACTGTAACTCATTGAATAATTCTAACCGATGCTGCTGCTGATTCATAGCTAGTCATCACCCTTGTCGAAGGCAGGTGACCTGCAGTGGGCGTGAAATTTCAGCGAGACCTGCAGCGCAACGGACAAACGAAGTGGTAGTTTAGTTTACCCCCTCACAAAATACAAGCCTCGTCGATACCTCTGCCAATCACAATGACGGGTGGTTCTCCTGCGGCCAGTGTGATCCCACCTTCGCAGCTGAATATGGCTTCCAATGAACTTTGTCGAGCTGGTAATAAGATGATATTCCCTTCTTGAGGAGTTGCAAGCTTGTCATTAGGTTGCCACGATGTGCCGAGAACTCCTTGCTGTCCTGCACCCGCGGTTGATTGGCAAAGGACGGCGGCAGCAACAACTCAACCAACGCCACAGTCTACGCGAGGCTTTCGGGCTGACGTGATCCGCGCCCGATCCTGCCTCGCGAATCCGCGCTTCCTCATGGTGCTGCAACGCCTTGTCGTATGCTCGTTTGGCGTAAAAGACCTGCGAGACATTGCTATGCGCTGTGGCCACGGCGGGGCGGTCTTCTCCTATCAGCTGTATGTCAATATAATATCCACCCATTGCCGTTTGAAAAAACCGCAACTTGATCCCCCATTGCATGAAAAGGTCAGACCCAAATTGTCAATTGTGATGGCTAATTTTGGATGCTCCTTCCACAGTGTCATCTCTTGGATGGACAGGACCTTTTGAAAGCCTTCTTTGGCAGCTAATGTTCTCCGTTGTATGGCTACCAGTAGAGTGCGCCAGGATTCGATGTGGTACCGGTAGAGCTTCCCACGTGCCAGCGTGCTGTTTTCCGAGCTAGCTAGAGATCGCCTTGCCGGTACCGGTACCAGTACCGGTATCATTTCTGGTACAGTGTAGCAGCTTAGCAGGCTGCATGATAGGATCACGATCTTTTGCACCACAACACTTCGCCCCAGCCCGACCCAGCCGAAGCCAATGCAACTCCGAGCTCGACCCAGCCGTAGGTAAATGCAAGTCCGAGGCCTCTTCCCTCTTCCAGCACAACATTTTAAATTCATTGCAATTGACAGTATCATTAGCAACAGCGCTGCCTACCGGTACCAGGTACGGTAACAGTCCAAGGAGACCATGGAGGTGAATTATCACCAGCATATCGAGGACGATTATGTTGGTTTGACAAATGAAAAGCCTCACGACACCATTCAGGCATACTTTTCTAAAAGTCCATGTTTTGACATCAGCATTGCTACCCAAATGGAATACAGTCAGTCTGAAGTGGCTAAGTCGGCATCAGATGCCATTGATGCCCTTCTGCTGCTTGAAGACTTCACTTCTTTGGCTGCAAAACGTTTCTCTTGTCGTATTATTCCTTCCCCTCGGATTGGGAGTGCCTTACTGGCGTTGTACCCACTTGCCTTTTTTGTCATGAATAATTTTGACAGCAAAATACTCAACAGAGTCCTCAGACTATATCCAGAAGCCATCAATCAGTCCTTTGGCTTCGTAAAGTGGTCAAGTCTACTGGAATTTGCTTGCTCAGACTTCCCGAATATCGACCATCAAACACTCAAGTGGCTGGCATCCCAGGTCAATCAAAACTTTGATACTGCAAAGGCAATCCTTAGCTTTTTCACTGACAACCGCTTGGAAAATCTGAGCATAAATGGCCCTTCATGTGATGAAGAAATCCTTCAGATTATGCTTTCCAAAAGTCCAAATTTCATGGCCAATGATGACGATGCAGTCAAAGAGTTGCTGAAAACTGTTATTGCAGCTGAACTTGACACTAAGATTGTCCTGCAATTGCTGGAAAAAATTCCAATGGGATCCCGTGTCTTGGATCTCAAGCATGATCTTTTGTGCTGTGTGTTTCAATGTGAAGATATGACCGTTGAGTGGCTAACCGGGTCGAGGATTGACCTAATCTTTTCGCAGATGTTGCCAAGGGTTGCAGAGCTTCGACTTGACCTGAATTGTTTTGAAGATTTCATGTGGCTGGACAATTCTGCGATGAAGATTGAACCTGAATGGACACGTGCAATCAAGTTGCTACTGGCCAACTCTTCAAACCTACAAAAGCTTTCCCTGTCGATTCCAACGGACGTCGCTTGGACAAATCCAAGGGCCATTGTCATGTTGAAGTACTTGATTCAGATGCACCTCTCATCGACAGAGCTTCATCTGCGTCTCTACAATGAATGTAACGGGGGTTGTTGGTGGATGTTTGAAGACGGAGATGAAGGTGGCGAAGAGTTCTACCTCTATGGCAACGAAAACAGCTACGGCAAGGTCAGCGGTGAGATTGGAGAAAAGCTCCGAACCCATACAGTCCATAGCACAGACGAATTTACCAACAACCGGTTTCTGGAATTTTTACTGGATGTTGTGCGAACAGCCCCCAACAGTGCCTCGAGTGGCAAGGGCAACTCCACGATCGAACACATTGAGCTAGACCGTTTGGAAAACGTGCACGCTGAGCACCTCGCAAAACTCTGTGTTCACACCAAATCATTGCAACTTGATTACACATCTGTGATATCCCAGACGGCCTATTCTCCCTCGCTTTGCAAGGTATGGAAGCGGCCTTGCCCCAACACATTTTCATGTTGTGGCTCTCCAGCTATGCGAGCGATCTCATCACTACCCCGCCACCAAAGCATTTTGACCACAAAGGTGACGTTTGCAAATAGACTTGACTGTGGGGCAAGCTTGGTGAAGCTTTGTCTCACGGGAATAATACCTGACTTCGTTCCTAAAAAAAAGGAGAGTTTGTTCGATGCAACATCCGCTTTGGTTACGACGCTTGGTATCGACACACTTGAGGTTCTCCAGTTCTCTGACATTGGGCATACACTAGACCTGTCTCTCTTTGGTGAAGCATTCAAGAAGAACCGCAATCTGCAAAAGCTTGAGTTGATTGGATTAAACTATCTTTGCAAGGATCAGCGTTCTGTCTTGGAATGGTTCCTGGAAATGCTAGAAGGAAGCGTGAACAGGGTATTGGCATTCCTCTCGATTAAAAATGGAAGCAGTTATCACTTCATCAACTGCGATGCACCCGTTCTTGCCAAATGTCTCCTGGCCAATGGCACCCTGCCAATAGGTGGTTTTCCATTTTATTTGGAACCAACGGCTGAAAAGATTCAGCTCCTGTTGTGGTTGGCACACTTTGGACGATGGAGGATGACCAGCGAAAACACCACATCACATGACCTTGTTGATATCCTTTTGAATGTGATGTCTGTTTCATTTAAGGAGCTTGCTTCTGCTGTCAACCCATGGCACCCAAAAGATGCACAACAACCGGAAAAGGATAAGACAGGAGTGCTGTATGGTCTTCTTCGTGAGAAACCTTCTCTTTGGTGCTGCTCTACTTCAATTTCTCAGCGTCAAGCTTCACCCAGAGGGGAAAAGCGGAAATATTCAGCTCCTGAAGGACCAGCATGCATTTTAAAAAAAACATAGAAGATAATTGCTGGGTGATTAGCCCAACGCACCAGAGAGAGCGCTGCACTGGTTCAAACCAAGACTAGTATCTGGTACTGGTACTGTAGCGTCCAAGCGGTCAACTAACCGCAAGGCCCACGATTGAAGGGTGTGACATGGGTGCACTACATTGTTGTTCTCGTTCCCTGACTAGTTCTTCAATGACTCCCCTTACCCATTTTCGAAAGCATTCGTTGAGGAACATGTTGGTTTGATGAAAGCCAACATCCCGTTCAATGGCATTTACGATCATGACCCTGTCTTCTTCCACGGATGCCATGGCCTGCTGCACTTTGGTTTTGGCGAGTGTTTCGTACAAGGCATCAGTGTTCTTTTAAACCAATTTGTGGCAAGTTTTTGTTTTTCTTCCGGAGGCATGACGATATAAACTTGGCGTTGACTGGACATGGCTTGGAAGGCTTCGTAAACACACCATGCTCGTGTTAAATAGACTGGCGAAGATCACGGTGCTAGCATGCAAACAATCCTCCCAATGGACGTCACACGTTCTCGAAATTCCTTTTGAAAGAAATCCACCAGTGAAGTGGATCGATTCTTACTTGTTGTGTCATTTGTATTGTTTCTGTTGTTGTTTGTGCCCAGAGCTCCTGATTTATTTGGCCTGTGATTCTGCCACTCGGTGTTGATTGACGCAAAAGGCACAGATCCAAAAATTGGTTCGTTTGGGATTTCTTTCCTGTTGGTGACAAAAATCCACCAAGGTATCCACTACCGCTTGAACCGTATGCGACCACGACCAACTTAACATGTGCGTGGCAGGTCCAACTTGATCGGGATTATCTTGCTGGAGGGAATGTACGTACCGGTAGGAAGCACCCAGTTGATGCGTGGTGGGGCACACGGTAGACGCCGAATGCGCTCGAATCACGCCAGGAGGACCTTGCAGATTTTCAATGTCGTTGGAAATGTGGGGAGAAAATCCTGACTCTTGAACTTTGTTGCAGAAATCCCGTGTTAGCCAATAAACACTCACGCCCAGCAAACTCAAGGAAGACAGATCTGATCCTCTCCATTGGGGGCAGTATTTGTTCAAATCTTTTGGTCGCTCAAACTGGTGATGAAGTCAGCAGCCATGGGTTTCTCTCCTCTCCTGCGTTTTTCGAGCAACTCTCTAAGCTTTTCTTACACTGCTGGCTTTCTCACACTAGCTAGCTAGCGATTTGGTCCTGTATTAGTCAGCCCAATGCCATGGCCGCACTATTGTCCATTGCTTGTGATTGCGAATTGCGAAGTGTTTTTTGTTGTTGTTTTCATTCACAGTTGAACTTTAGTCATGAGAGAATTCAAACGAAAATCGAAGCAAGCTACTCTCACGACAACCAGTATAATTTTTATAAAATTTGAAAGCAGCAGAGTTGCCACCATAAACACAGGCTTTTCCTGCTTCACATGGTCAGATCATCTCTTGTTTTGATGTTGAAAGGGCTACTGGAGGAATGCAGGAGGAACTCAACCAATATAGCACCTACACAACCAAGCTGAATATATAGAGTTATCTACATTCTTTGCTTGTCGCAGCCATGTGCTGGTTGTAGTGCTGACAGCCACGTAGAAGGCATTATCTTATGTCAAACTAGTGTAAAATGGTCAGAAATGGAAGCCCTACTTTGCCAGCCATTCGTTCCTCCCATGGCCACCAAATGGACAAGTGGCTATCACCACTGCGACGGGCACGTCCAAATTATGTATTCCCTATCTCAAAGTATTGTCAGGTTGACCCTATTGGTCAAACTGCTGGGGGTATCTCTGTCAGCATGAACTGATGTCAAAAGTGAGTTTCTTCAAAAAATGGGTGATGCGGAGAGGCTTCCACCACTTATCTTTAGTGAATTACCCCATCCTCCAGTTATTTATACTGGTTGTCAAAAATTATACTGGTTGTCGCAAGAGTAGCAAGGGGCGGCCTCTGCCATCACGCAAAGATCGACAGCGAAGCGATGTTCACTGTGTCTTCGTTGTCGCTTTCTTCTCCTTCTTCACTCCATTTTCAATCGAAGAGAAGATCGACACTCGTTCGTTTTGCACCAGAAGCACGCAGCATAGCGGCTACAGTCTGTATCATGACGAGTTCTTCTACTGGTCCTCCGCTGATTCTCTCCCCCGAGGTTTTCCGAGCCAGATTCGCCATCCTTCGCAAGCACCATGAACGAAATGGCCATTGTCGTGGTGTAAAGAATGGTAGGATTACTGACTTTACTTCCATGGTCCGAAGTGGAACGGTCCAACGCAATGCCTTGGAGTCGATCGAGTTTGACTTTGAGACCCACCGGCAAAAGGCGGAATGGTTGGCAACCTTCTACATGCTCTCCCACTTGCTCCGAATGGGTCACACTATCGATGACAAGATGAAACAATGATTATGATGTCGTCCAATATAGATGGGTCGGTATAGAACTGAAACCCAATGGACTCTAGCGACTTTGCTCGTTTGGGGGGCAACCTTTCCTCTAGAAACGACTGACGTTGCTCGGCTACCCAAGCTGAAAGTTCATGGTCTTCATCCACCATACAATCTGTTGGCAATTTGAACAGATATCGCAACATGAACATCATGAGCATCTACACCATGTCATTATTTCCTTCAGCACCGGACTTACCTCCGTGTTCTTCTTGATATTGTGCCAACATGGCAAAGTTATCTTCCCAGACATCCTTACTTCTCGTGCCAACACGTACAAAATCGAATCCAAGAGACTTGAGATTTTCACGCTGTTTCTTTGTAAGCTTGGATTGTTGTCTCCTTTGTTTCCCTACCCATTGGCCAAGCGCATGGTCATGGTAGCTACATTCACATTAAATATGCAAACGCGTCAGTTCCACGCTGATCAAAAGGGATACTAAAAAGAGCACAAGAAAAGGCAATCCAACAAATATATTACTTACCTCCTGGACACGTTGGTATGGCCAAATTCTTCCTTGTAGACTACCAAAGCCTCAAAACTTTCGTCCCAGTTTCGCTTCTTGAGAGCTGCAGCACTAATCGCTTTGTGGTTCTCCGAAGTAAGACTCGCCGATCGAACTTGCATTGGCTCTGGTTTTGGCTTGGGCTTTTGAAACAGCACATGCTGTGGTGGCTTTTCTTTTGTTGTGCTGGATTTACTCTTTTGTTTGCTGGTTTTTTTGTTGACGTCTGGTAGACGGCTGTCGTTCTGGAAGTTGCTCACCGCGAAGCTTCCATACAAATCCAATCGCGTCCAATCTCTGACGCTTATCGGGAGGCAACTTTCCCGAGGACTCGTATCGCCTCTGTTTGCGGACCCAATGGCCCAAGGCAGTGTCTTGCTCGTAGGCCGACGGAACCAACGTGTTGCCGTAAATGTTCTTGTAGTCGAGCAGAGCCAAGAACGATGCCTCCCAGTTCCGTCGTACGCCACCGTCGGCCTCATTATCTGACCCATCGTTGGCATTGTTCTTACTGTGAGAAGCTTCCTCGGACATGATGAACTATTACTAAAGAGCTTCGTTTAGTGGCAGGAGGGAGTGAACCGACAAGTGAGTCTTCGGCTTCTGCGATCTGCGAAGGTTGGAGTGAGGCTCGTCGCTCTACGCGAAGATACCGTTTAACGGCAAAGCCGGTTAAGCTGATTTACAATCCGTGAGACTAATTATTTCCTGGGTCCTAGGGTAGATTCGAAAGTTACGGTTGTATTTTTTACGCTGGGCAGATTGGTTGGCTCTAACTAGCCAAGAAACGGCGAGCATCTTCACCTAGGATGAAGCGGCCTCGCACATACTTCCACTGCTCTGCTTTATCCAGGGTAGAAATGAGGGCCAATTGTTGCTCCGAGAATGGGAGTTGTTGTAGATTGGTGGCTTGGAGTAGAATTCCTCAACTCCTTCAAGTTCCAAAGCAACTTTACCATTTACCAATCCATCCTTAAAGTTTGCCATTCAGTGGCTGTCCAGTTTGGCAGCTCAGGCCATGGACAAGGACCCACAAACCAGCTTCCCCACACTCCAAAGCAGAAGCATTGGTTTGCTCCGCAGTCATCTGTTTCAGAACATTGTGCATGCGTAGCAACATGTCGGATTTGGCTTCACCTTCAACATTTTCCAAGGCACCCCGGAACATTCTCTTGGTTTCCTCTATTTCTTCCTCTTTGCGGGTCACAGGGATGGCTTGCTGACCGTTACATCCAGAAAGCGCCTGGACCCGCATATTTTCCAGTGCGCCTATAGTATCTTCTGTTGGAGAATGGGAATAATATACTGCGACTTTTGGATCTTCTAGGCCTGCCTTGGCTGCAGTGAGTGCCACCTTTGTGACGCGTTTGAGCATTCCACCATGGCACCACCAATCTGGTTTCGCACGCAGAGTGCTTCGCAGCACCGCTTGAAGACAGCATGAACACACAAAGCCCACGAAACCAAGCCATATTTGATGTAGCCTTCTGTGGCAACTTTACCCCCCTTTTGTCCTGTCAGAGCAATCAATGCCCATCGCTTACATGCTTCCTCCATGCATGCCCGACATTCTGCCGTTTGCCCTGATATCTCGAAACATACGGCAAGACGCTGGTATGCTTCTGGTCGTGAGGGGTCAAGCTTCTGGAGAGCTTCCATGGATTTCTTGGCACCATTGATGTCTCCAGCCTTCACAAAAGGATCCATTTGAGACAGACCGGACAAATAAGGGTCAGGTTGTGTACTCTGTGTTCTCTGCGGTCTCACTCTTTCATAATGTTCAATGGCTTCCTTTAGGCCATCCTTTTCTTTCTCTCCTAATTTTTTATGCCATTTTTTGTGCTCCGGCCAAGCTTTCTTGAAGCACGCTTGGGAACAGAAAAGCGTTGGCACAAAGCATTCTTCAGAGCATCGGGGGCATTGATTGAACCGAACATCTCCGTATTCCACCTTGTGGCAACCAGAGCAGAACCGCTGTGATTTGTTAACCGTCTTTGACTTCGACACTTCGACTTCTTACCCATCTTTCCGCAATTTCAATGAAAAGCGCACCCGTGGATCACAACAAGAGGAAGGTGGCGTACAGCCGTAGTTTTGGTCTTCCAACTCGGATCGTAGAAATATGCTGCGACCAAATGGTCGACGACAGATCAGTGCCCGTTCAGCTTTGGATGTGCCGAGCTGTGGTTTGGATTTGGCTTCTCGGAAGAAGTGGGTTCTCAAATTACAAGCCAGCGTAAACTGTATTAGGCGAAGATTCTTTTATTTACATCATGTACCGTACCGGTACTGGGATTTGGTTTACTTCAGGAGCTCTTCAAGTGGTCAGTAACTGGTACGCTGGTACCGGTACGTGTACTGTACCGATACAGGTACAACGGTACCGGTAGCAGTCTCATCTGAGACTAGAATAGTTGATCTAGAGTCCCTTATCTACCGTATGCGGACTCTTCAACAGGAATAACAGTATGGTAGCAGCTGCTTTCAATCAACAGCCAGCGTTGTCATACCGGTACGAGGAACGTGGAGGCCTGCTACCGGTATAGCAAAGTACACGAAGAATGAATGATATCGAATTTGTTTTGATCGTCGTTCCTATGAGTACGGTTGTAGCGCAGTCGCTTCCTGTGTTGCTCCATCGTACATGCGAGTGTGGATCGAATGGCATAGCCCGGGGCGAACGTGTAGCGCAGACCTGACTGCCTCGGTCCCTGTTCGTTCGTGTGTTCCCTGCCTCTGTATCTCTCTCGTTTCTCGTTTTCTATTGTTCTTCGCTCAGTACAAGCTCACTCGACGGATACCCTGGTGGGGCGCAGTCATTGTGAGAGGATCATGAGACTTCTTGGTTGCCAACGCCGACACGCCCTCCTCGTATATTGGAACAATGCCAATGGACGCCAACTTGGCTTGCCGGGCATCCGACAGTTGATCCGAGTCCAACAAGAGTCGCTGTCGTCGCAACCACTTGCCGAGTTCTTCCGGAACAGTCGACAACCAATCGTTACCATGGTGATCACGACACGCCTTCAAGTCTTCCCACATGTCGTCCCAGTAGAGAGTCCGCTGATTCATTCCTTTGGTTCGTTTCCGTTGCAACTTGTCCTCGTGATCGGAGGAACCCAATCCAATCTCTTTCAATCGTTCGCGACGGTACTCGGTGAGACTATGGTAGTTGACCTGTTGCTCGCGAATCCAAGTTCGCAGGTCGGCGTCCACCAGGTCGGCGGCGATGTTCGTGCGAAGAGCCTGGAAATACGAGTCCCATGCGGTCCGCTTTTCCCGTGGAATGACATGAGCTGCCCCGAATGGACTTTGAGCGGGCAAGCTGGTTGTGGCGCCGGTTGGACTGCCTGAGTGGCAGGGTGTGGTTCCGAGAAAAGTGCCTTTATTGTCCGAGTTGCGACGGGGTTCTTCCACGACATCCTGCTGCATATGCGGGATTGACCAATCAAAGTGGATGTTGTTGAGGAGAGCCACTCGATCTTTCGACAACTTGTTGTGGAGGTGACGAAGTCTTTGCGTGTGGATCCACT